CCGACACGTTTACATCAAGATAATCTGTAGAATAAGTGAAGTTTTTTTTTTATGTAATACTGTTGTAAGAGAAATAGCTTTGTGCTATTTAGCCTATGGTTTGAAGAACATCTTTCATGCTGATGTGATCGATGTTAAGAGAATTTTGTATAAGATCTTTGACCTTGGAGAGAAGCTCCAGAATTTTGACATTTTTATTGTAAGTATAATAAATGTTAGACCTGGTTTCGTCCAAGTGATTTACTCCATGTTGGTTAGCAGCTTGCTGAGTGGAGCCTCCTGTACCTGGGCTGTTGCTGGGGCTTCCTGCTCCGTCTCCTCCTGATCCAGCTCCATCCCCTGCTCCAGCTCCATCGCCAGCTGCAGCACCTCCGGATCCGTCTCGTTCTCCTTCGCCCGAGCCGCCTGCATCTCCCGTTCCTTCGCCATCTCCATCTCCAAAGCTAAAACCAGATCCTGGTCCTCCATTTTGCAGCCCACTGTTAAAATCTGCATCATCTTCGTCGCCGTCTTCATTTCCCTCTTGATCATCGGCATTGTCTTCATCGTCTTCCTCTTCTTCCTCCTCCTCTTCTTCATCTTCCTCTTCTTCTCCGTCATTTTCTTCTCCATCATCTCCACCACCTTCGCCATCTCCATCTTGACCACCGTTCCCATCGAAACCGTCACCTCCACCGCCGCCATTATCGCCCTCAAAATGATCATTACTAATGTCATCGCTGTCAGAGGAGTCGGATATAAAAAATTGATTTATATAAATGAGGTTAGCGTTCTGCGGCGGCGATTCCCCGTTCTGCCCAATGTCGTCTTTGGGTCCGTTCAAGGGCCTCATGAGCCTCTACTTCGTTGCACAGCTTGTAAACCCCAACACTTCCACCGGCTCTGCTACCACGTTATGTTTCTCGTTCGTCAACACAAAGCGGATGCGGAGGAAACTAGCACCGAGCATGCCCCCGAAAACTCGAATATTGAGCAGATTCCACAGCAACTGCACCACCTCCACCTAGTTCTCCTTGTCACGCAGCGATCGATCGATCCCCGGGACTATACTCAGGGTGATGCGTTTTACTTGATTACCAGAAAATGCAGACCACAATTATAATGCAACAAAATAATTACGAACGAACAAGAAATAGTACAAGTTCTTCACATTTTGCATCAAGATGGCGCTGTAAATACACCACACGTTGCCAAACGTATTTCAACTTCAATCTAACATTTTAGTGTCTTTTTACATAAACTTCATTACAAATTGTATACCAAACCAATCAATTGGATTAAAATAAAATAATAACAAGTAATATAATATCCGTATTGAATTATCTTCGTATTAGATGTGCGTCAACAACGTTGCAAGATGTAACTCATGTCAAAAACACTCTCACTCTCCTTTGTTTCTTCTTCCCATGTTCCCGCGGAAACGGTGTATGTGAATTATTAATATTTTATTATACATATAAATAAATATGTTTTCGTGTTTCTCGGAAAACACTTTCTCTGTTATGCAATTAAGTGAATTAAATATGTGTGGACGATCGCAGCGGAGCGTTCACAATGTGCGTCGCGCGTCGTGGACTTGCAGCTGGAGGATAGAAGAAATTCCCTAAAGTTAACGTAATAAATCAATTTTAATTATGCGATATAGATGCAAATCGCGAAATGCTCTCCTTTGTCGCGGTCAAACAATAGGGCCATTGTTGTCACCGCTTTTAATAGCCTTCAACAGGCTTCAGTATGTACGACAGTCAATACACTCTCGCTTCCCTGATAAAACGATGTTTGGTTTGCATGCATATCCTTCTCAGGTAACATGTCTTTTGTCCGGGAACACTATCTGCGCGAAGGAAGCACAAAGGCACCACTCGAGAATCACGTATTACCATTCCGAACTATTATTTTTTAAAAATTCCAACTTCCATGGGGATGACATAACTTTCTGGACGTACTGTATATTCAGCTTCATCGATTTTAACAAATTTATTGCATCCCCATTTGCGGATATGCACTTGCGTCATCACTCACCTACATAAGTTTTCTCGAATCACATTTCAGCTCCAATACAATGCCAGACAAATAGATCAAATATTCTCGAGTCTCGAAATAGAATCCCTTAGACGTCTGTCTGCATCTAAATTACCCTTTTGAAAGGTTAAGGCTACGTCGCATTTCCAATACTTAAAATTGATTAATTTCTTTTATAAGTAATGCACTTATATTTGAAAATGTATCATATTACTTCAATTAATTCTAATCTCAAATTATGAAATATATATATAATTATAAATAACGTTTACTGTAATAGTCATACAAATTAGTATAGTCATTAAATTAATAATCCAACTCTTGATTTCATTATATTTTTAAGGAAAAAAAAAAGTCACGTTATTTCATCTTTCGGGTGGAACATTAAAATTATGTGTAAATTTGATTTCATCTTTATAACAATTGTTTTTTTTTTACAATTTGTCCTGTGAAGAATTTTTAGAAAGTAAAAGTGTCTTAATATTTAGTGTTTGAAATGCAACGATTTGCAAATAATTTTTTTTTAGTAACGCAAAAGTAAATATGCAGATCAGAAATGTCGCCACCTAATGTATTCCAAACGGTTTACAATTCTTAATCCAAACAAGTTTCGTGAACGCTAAGAAATTGATTATCGGCTCCTTTGATTTATTCCGGCGCTCCAAATCCCGAAGGATCTTTTGCATCACCAGTATCGACCTTTCGAAACGTCATAGTTGTGCAAGCCGGACCAGGTTGCAGTTCATTTAGTCAGTGTTTTTCTTTTCTTTATTATATATACTTTGTACTTTTGGAACGTATGTAAATGTGTGAAATTTGAAGCGTGCTGCGTTAATAGAGACGTGAACGTTTGTGGAACGAGATTCGGTTTTATGTAAGTTTGATGCATATGTCATGTTGTTAGAGGGGAGTAGAGAGGCGGAGGGAGCCTACCAGATATTACCATTTAGAGTGGGCTTTTATTGAATAAAACATGTGTTCATTACGTATAGAGAGTTTTATGTATGTGGGCACATCTAGGCTGCTGCGGGTCTACAATATATTTATTTACCACAACTTTTATTTTTTTTTATATAATATATTAAGGAGGTCCCTTATCACCAGCATTTTTATCTGTGCTGGTCACGATAAAACGCCCTTTTTACCACGATTACATCGAACGAAAGAAGTTCTTCTCCCTCCGTCTATGCCTCACATCAACATGACTCAACTCAACCTTTTGTTTATCTCCTGTTTACTATTTATAGTTTGCCTCTCTGTTATCATTTTAAACTTATATTTAATGCCGGGCTATACTCGGACGCTTACACTTCATGTGCAGCATCCACTGTTTAGTCTACTAATTATTATTGCTATCTATTTTTACACCCACGCTTCGTTAGGGCTGCGGCCCGGCCTGCCTTCGGGCTTTTCGGAAAAGTCCTAAAAGTCTCATTTGAAACTCTTGTCATAATCTCTAGTTTCCGAAACACAAACAAACCTGACCTTGCGCAAACTTATCTGATTCATTCGGGGAACTGAACGTTATTTATTAACTTAACTATTAGATGGAAATTAGTAATAATTTATTTACACAATTCACGGCTAATTGTTAGTTAAATAAAGTCATTAACCACTTGTATAAAGTTTATTTTTACAATAAATATTAATACGAATTACATGACAGAAATTATAATTTTCGATATTTCGAAATTTAGGTTGTTTATTTTATTTTCATTTCTTCCAAGTCCATAGTATTATTTGTTTTTATACAATCTAATCTCAAGTAGTTAGTTTTTGTATCATTTGAACTATATTTTTTTTTATACGATTTATATAACAATAATAATTGTATAAAGTATTATTAATAATAACTGGGGCAATTGATTTAAAAAATATTATGAAAAATACTGTTAATGTATTCTTTTTAAACTTGGTAAACTAATGATTTTGAAAAGAAATATTGCGTTTTTTTCATATATATGTAATTTAAAAGTAATATGTTTAACAGTTATATGTGAAAGAGGTAATCGATCAGTTTGTAATGTAACTGTTGGAAGAGCGAAGTAGGCAGACCTAATTAAAAAATGTGTTACGCATTTCAGTAACTGTTGTGGCTATTCGGTTACATTTGTTTTCAATGTTTTTCTTCGTGTTCGTAGAGGCGAGCAGAGGAACGGACGACTATTAACGCCAGCATATTGTGTGTGTATTCAAGTATGCTAGTTGCGGCAATATTTGTTGTTTCACTTAACGTTAATTGCTGGCAGAGTGGAATTAAGCCAGAATTAGCGGCGTTTTTCCCACACTGAGTGGGATTTGCTCAGCCAGTGTCTGCCGTGTTAACAACGAAAACCAGAGATTGACCAGTTTTTGTTAGCGAAAATTGCTGTGATGATCCCTCCACAACAATTTTCATTTTCCCAGTGGTCTCTGTTGACTGCTGATCCAATGAGCTACGGTCCTGGATCTATTGTTTACGTTCATCAAGCCGTATCAAAAGAAGTGGTCGCCTGTTGCCTTTTGACTCGACGTATTCAGTCGCATAGTATTTGTGAGTAGTGAGCCAGTAAACGCGACGACTGTCGATGACACTTAATATATCCATCCGATAGTGATTATGATTCTATGTGAGCCATTACGACGCATTGGTATGCCTTTCCATAATCCTTTAGGAAGATCTCGCGCGATTCCGCGAACTGCTGAAGCAGGGCTGGTCGTCCACCCTACTTGAAGTAATTGCTGTATTAGTCATCGCATCATTTAGAAGATGCACTTAACTACTGGTGCCTGCCTGCTCCTCCTTCCTTCATTGCGTCGAATCCGAAATTAAGGTTGCCGAAGAAATGATTCACGAGATGCACGCTCTCATTACAAATACATTCAGTAGGGTCTCGCAAACAATTGTTTTGCTCCAGCAATGCGCACCCGAAAATATTATACTGTAGCCGCGCGTGTTCTAAACATTCTATATGGTCTCTGTTTTGTGTGTTTTGCAGACTTGAGCAGTTGGAATGGAAGCATTTCGCAGAGTTGGAGGAAACTGCGGCGGTGCTGCGCCTCGCTGAGGGCAACGAGCGCCCAAAATAGTCCAGAGCCGTGCAGAGACGCACTCCTGGATAACCAGAATCAACACATTCTAGTCAATTTACCCCAAATGAGTGTCCTGAGCACATCCAAGAGGAACAGCATGCATGAGGTGATCCGGTCCAAGCTGAGCCGGATTCATGTTGGCCTCAGGAAGCGCAGGGCTCTGTCCGTGCAGGAGGTCTTCCACAGTCCAACGCATGATCAGCCGACCTTCTACGTGCCGTCGCCGAACGACAAGGCCAACGATTCAGGATCGACATCCTTACCCTTAATCGACTGTGATTTGCCGGAGAAGCAGAACCATCGCAGCAGACCGAGGTCTCGCCATCGCGATATCATTGCTCCGAACCTTATCCATGACCATGGTTACCACAGCTACGAGAGTCAAGGATACGACTCTCTACCTTTTGAGCCGGAACCAGACTATGACGAGAGTCCGTGGACGCCGCAGCAGAGACCCTGCCAGCGGCGATGGTCTGTCGTAGATGGTCTTATTCGCTTCACCACGTCTCAGCAGCCGAAAATGCCACCTGCGGGTAACCACGACTCCGGCCCACCGTCCATGCAGTTCCATCACGAAGCCAAGCCGACCATAGAAACTGTAATGAACAAGATCCCCAAGGCCAAGCTCATACCCGGTAAACACCAAGAGCACCGCGCTCGCTCGCATTCCCCAGCTAAAAATAAGACGACAAACAAGAAAGACACGAAGTCTACTCCAGCCAAAGATAACGCACCGAAGAATTCTAGCGCTAAAGTGGTGGCTTCGAGGAGTCATTACGGCTGTTTCACGAGCAGCGAACAAAGACCGGAAGTCACACAGAGCTCCGACTACGATCGGATAAACAAGCACCACAGGCAGGTATGCAACATTGTTCGGATATTACGATTACATTTACACTCATAATTAGTTCCACGTATTTCTCCCATTGTTCTCTAACGCCGTAGAGCCTGGGATGCGTACGATAGACATGCAGAATCCTTATTATACTTGAATTTCTCTTTCATTTCATTAGCAGGAATGGTTGGAGGAATTGGAGGAGGCAGAGGAAGAGGAGGAGGAAGAAAGCAAATTCTGTACGTTGCCCAGAGGAGGCGGCAGTTCCTTCACCATACGACAAGTAGCTTTCCAGAAAGGTCCTGGCTTCAAAGCTTTAGGCTTCAGCATCGTAGGTGGTCGAGATTCGCCCAAAGGTAATATGGGAATTTACGTGAAGACCATATTCCCTAAGGGTCAAGCTGCTGATGGTGGAACTCTTAAAGAAGGTATACAATTATCCATAAACTATTTGTTAAATGCTACCTTCACTTGACTATGTAATCTACACTAATTCTCTTGTATCACAGATATGTAACAATTGTTTTCTTGTATAGGTGATGAAATTTTGGCGGTCAATGGGAAGGCAATGCATGGCGCTTCCCATCAAGAGGCTATTTCGGTATTTAAGCAGATCAAGAGTGGCCAGGTGTTGCTGCACGTCGGTCGCAGGATGTCGAAGAAACGGCGCGACAAGATCCCTCCAGCTCTGTAATTGCCATGGCGAGCTCCGCAACATTCCTACGTGCTATGTCTCTATTCCAAAGATTATCAACTTAAAGAAGAAGCATAAACAAAGAAAGATATTCTAAGATGCAATTAAACTTGGTTATCCAATTATATATGTAATTATTAACAAACAAGTAAAAAAAAAAACAAATCTATATTACAATAATTTTTTATAATATATAATAATCGATTTTTTTATAATATTTTTATAATATTATTTTGTGTATAAGCCTATATATGTATATATTTAATATTGATGTTTCTTTTGATATTCAAACAAACGAGATAAGAAAAAAAATATTAACACAAAAAGCCAACAACTGAGTGAATTATGTTATAAACAATTGTTAACTCTGATTT